TATATAAATGAAAATAAAAATAAATAAAGAAAAGAAAGACATGCAGCCGACTGGCTGGTAGAGCATCACTCTGGCCAGACTAAGAAGGCACCGAGAGAGCACAAAAGCCGCACGAAAAGGTCCACCTCGACAACAAAAACCAAGGCCCCGGCACAACCACAACACGTGCCAAACCCAAAAAGAGAGTCTGTAAGCCAGGAAGACCCCAGAACCCCAGAAGGCAGAACCGGGTCACACACGAGGTAACCAACGGCCTCCAGAACCCTCAAAGGGGGCCCCAAGAGGAAGAAACCTCCGGAACGAAACCAAATAACCCAAAGGAACCCGGAATCGAATCTGGGGAACCCGAACCACCACATTTGCCGGCGAAATTGCACCACAGAAAGGGCAAATCACAGCACCCAGACAGAACCGCCCAGTGAAACTTCCAAAATGGACCTAAAACCAAGGGACACAAGGTGTGGGAGCAATAATAAACTGACAGGGAACACTGGGCTCAAACCCAAACAAACAAAAAATGCAAAACCGGGGTAAAAACCAACACCCAAGCATTCTCAGAGGAACAAAAGAAGGGCAGAACGCCTTAGAAAAAGCAAAGAAACAGCAACTGAAGAATAAAACCCCAGAAGGAGGTGAAAAACTCCCTCAAAATGCAAGTTCGCACACCCAGGCACAGGTAAACAAACCGCAGTGCCGACCCAGTGGCCAAGCGGGGAATCAACCCGCAGAAAGAAAACAGCCATCATAACAAAAGGAGACGCGGCCGACGCAAGAGATCAGAAAATACGCCAGAAAATGTGGGAAGTAAGCAAATGAGAGGGACGAAAAGCCCCGCCCAGAAAGCAGAAAACCCAGGCAGGGGCAAACAGCCCCAGAATTGCTAGTGGGCACCCCCCCCCCCCCCTGGAACCTGCAACATAGACCCCGGGGCAGAGCTGTCCTCCCATGCCCTCTGCCCTGAAAGAAAAGGAAGAGTCCAGGGAAAGGCATCAAAGAAAGGGCCGCTCATAAGACCCAGAAGCCTCGGCAGGAGAAGCAGGCTTGAAAGCCTCCATCCCCAACCCAAACGGGGTAGTCCCCAAAGCTGCCCGAGTCTCGGCACCAACTAAACCCCAGCCCCGGCCACAAAACCCACAGACGGTTTGGAGCTGGGAACACGGAGGGGGAAGGGGTGAACAACACCTAACAAAAATGGGGAGGCCCTGGGGCATTAACCCTCAAACCGCACATATCATATATAAATGATATCAGTGACAAAACCGAAACCGCGCACATCATTTATATATGATTTCATGTCTAGCGCTATAATTTAAACTCCCCGCCTGGGATAGGGGCAGCTATAGTACAGCCACGACCGATAGTTGCCAGATGCCACCTAGAAAAAAAATCCAGGCCAACATTCTTGGGTGTTAGAGCGTCAGTATTGAGCAAGCCACCAAGGCTGGCGCACGCAGCACGAGCTCACAGCACTGCTGTTCAGCTTGTGACCACAGCATCGCCTACAAATACCATAATATAAATGATACTGCTATTATTTAGCAGTGATAGTATTACTGAAGCCCCCTGACTGTGATAAAACTGACCAGGATTCTGATAATAGCAGGATTGTGGTAATATTTAGTGCTGTGCTCCATGGAGGGAGGCGTAAGGCTGTGCGAAGGAGGGTTGTGGCGTCGTCTTCTGACTGTGTGTGGCCACCATTTATTGACTGCACTCACCATACCAGCTTAGTGGTTCGATATGGTGAACACAAATGTAGATACTTATATATAACGTGTGTATAGAGTGTGATAACAGCGAGAGGAGTAGGTTGGGAGCCGCCATTTTGGTGAGGGAGGAACGTCGTCTGCACGTCTTGGCATGGTGTTTACGATGGCCACTATGGTCTTTGGGCACCATACCAGCTTATTTGTTCAGGTATGGTGAATAAAACAGCTAGATACTTATATATAATATGTGTATATAGCGTAATAACACCACAAACAATATTGTTGAAGGACAAATATTAGTGCGTCTGGCCTTGAGGGCAGCCGCCGATCAGCTGACTGTGTGAGTAGCTACGTCTTTGTGGCCTTTACTCACCATACAAGCTTAGATGTACAGTTATGGTGAACAAAACATGTAAATACGTATATATAACGTCTGTGTATAGAGAATAAATACAGAAAGAGTATTGTAGGAGGTGAATGAGGGTGAGTGAGGTGGTGTTGAGGGAGGGAGTGGCAGTGAGTGGCTCGCTGGTGTTTGGCGGTCGCTCCTCGTTGCTTTTTGACTCACAAGACCAACTTAGTAGTTCGTTATGGTGTACAAAACATGCAAATACTTATATATAACCTGTGTATATAGTGTAACAACAGCAAAACTATTTGTTTATTGTTTTATGAACATAATAATTGAATCACTAATATGCACACCATGATTTTGAGTACAGCGATGGTTCACACATTTTATAATATAAATATACCACAATTCACTGTATGGAATAATATTACTGCAAAAAAACTAAGAAAAAATCAATCAGAGACATTGAAATAATTAGGTAATAATATATTTGTGGCAACTGCCGTCTGACAGCTCGGGCGGAGTAGACCTCATCTGGCAAAGGCTCTGCCAACGCCCCTTTTTTGCCACACTTCCCTACCCTATTGCGGCTAAAATATGCCACCTACGATTTTTTGTTATTTTTTCCGTGATCAGGGAACAAAAATGAACACTTCTATAAGACGAAAGAATTTTTTGGAATTTTTTTTTTTTTGTTGCGCCTGTGGGTGTGAATTCCATTTGGGCCCCTAGCAGTTTGAGGGTTAATGTGGGAAACCAACCTAGCGCGTTGCAGCAACCTAACCCAAGCATGCAATGTGGATACCGTCTGTACTAGCCAATGGGGGAGCCTTTCAGCCGAGCGGACAGCACGCTGGACTTGTGATCCTGTGGTCCCGGGTTCGATCCCGGGCGCCGGCGAGAAAGAATGGGCAGAGTTTCTTTCACTCTATGCCCCTGTTACCTAGCAGTAAAATAGGTACCTGGGTGTTAGTCAGCTGTCACGGGCTGCTTCCTAAGGGTGGAGGCCTGGTCGAGGACCGGGCCGCGGGAACACTAAAAGCCCCGAAATTATCTCATAATAACCTCAAGATAACTCTAGCAGTAATGACATGAGAAGAGTACTGGAGAACAAGCAGAGAACACATCTCGCAAGACCCCGGATCAAGGTGTCAGTGACCCAACAGGTAGCATGACGGAGGTACAAGAGGCAACTGGCACCCTGAGACAAGGGCACAGCAACCAACGAACCCACTCAAGATGGGTTGGAACCCGGAAGACACATCCACTGGTCCACCAAGCCCCAACAGGGTTTTCCAGGGCCAGTGGGGTGACGACTACAGGAAGCCCGGGCAAGGTGTCGCTAACCGATTAACACCCAAAACTAACAAGGGGTAGAGTCTAACACTGAAAACCCTTGCGACGTGTACAATCACGAGGGCCTAGCAGAGGGCCACCAAACGATACCGGGGGATCTATAGCCACACTAGGCAGACCCCCCACCAGGCAAATGAAAACAAAAAGAAAAGAAAAACCCTGCAAAAAGTACACCGTCCCCAGAGGAAACAAGAACCGGTCGCCTTGTAGGTAGCAGGTCGCTCAACAACTTGACGCCCAAACCAGCACCATACCATACTCGGCAATTGCCTTGCCCTTGGGGCCAAGGCAATTGCCGAGCAGCAAGAACCCCTATGGGAATGGATCTCGAATGCCCCAGAGAAGATAACCCTGACACGCAAGGGCAGTACTCACAGGGCGCTTAGGGAAGGAAGCCCCTAAGTGCATGCAGCCCCGGTACTGAAGAGGAACACCCTGGCCACCACACAACACAGCAGCAATGAGCGCCACGGAGGCAAACACTGCCTAGGAAACTGAGGCCAGAGAAGTGTCTGTCCTGGTTGACATTAGCTTACGAACTGGAATGCTATGTGGTCGGCGCGGTGAGGTTCGGAGCCCCCCCCCTCCCCCTCTCAGAGAGGGGAGGGCTGCACGGACAAGCGGCACAGCAGCAGAGTGTGACATTTGCTTGTTTGCTTGTTTCCTCAGGATTGAAGGGCATTCTACCTCTCTGTTCAGTTTTGTTGTTAGTTTCTTACCATGTGGGGTTTATTTTGTTATGCCTACCTTTCTGGGTGCCTAACCCCAGTCGATGGCAGATAAGGAAAATCCCCAACCACTGGGGGGTTTTCCAGGGCCATTGCTCCCTGAAACCTCTCTGAAGGGGCCCAGGTTCTGGCTCGTGGTCCTTAGTAGGTCTGAACTCCATAGCTAATGTGTCCCGGTCTAATATAAAACACATTAGCCCGATAAGCTACAGAGAGCTGTAAAGGCTCACTACAGAAAATGCAGTTTCTGATTGATTCTCACTATTTTTACATATAGTGTACACAGCTGTCTTTTCTTAGAATCCTATAGAATGGATGTTTCATAAACCCTAAATGTTTGGAATTAAAATATTTTGTGTCTAAATTTGGCGCATGTTTCAAATGCCATATTGACAATTATTTTACAGTAAACTACACTGAAAACCTATATTCTCAACTGATGAAAATGAAGATCATATGCTATTCTGAGAGCATAATAACACCAAGTAAACAATTGGTGATATTTTATATTTTTGAAGCTGATTTGAAAATCTGAAATTTTCAATATTCAATTTTATAATTATTTTTTATTTTCTTATTTTTCAAGTTACGTTGTTGATCCTTTAGACAAAGTTGGAGAATTTGTCTATTAGATTATGCACAAAACATATGAAAGCATTTCAGCAAATTTTAAAAACTGAGTTTTTGCCCCAATCACATATACTGTATATGCTTTGCACAGTTTAAGGGTTAAAGGAGGAAAATAGAAGGGGTAGCTTACTAGAATACAGTTCCATAAGGCAGTAATAATGCAAAATACATATTTTCATAGCAAATAAAATATTAATTACTGTACAGTATTTATGAAACAATTACCTTGTTATCAGCTTGTTGCTTCAGGCTGTCACAAAGAGATGCAGCATCCATGATAATATTAGATGCAAGTTGCCGCACTTCACGCAGTTCCTGAAAACATTTAATAATAATAAGTAATAGTAATATCTTCTCACAGACGTAATACTATAGGATAAAGGCCCATATTTATGTATTTGTGAATTTTATGTAAAGATTTACACCAAGTCCTTTGCACTCTTCTGTGTGCTTTGTCAAGGTCTGAGTATGTTGTTAGGACGAGACTTAATCTCGACAATTGATGCCAAGTTATTAAGATGCAAGTTGTTGAAGCCATAAGTTGTTGAGGGCATTAGTCATTGAGATGTAAGTCTTGTCCTAACCATATAATCAGACCTTGACAAAGCACTAAGGAGAGTGTGAAAGATTTGGTGTAAATCTTTACATAAAATTCACTAATACATAAGTGTGGGTTTTTATCCTAAATAATAATAATAATAATAATAATAACAATATTCTGTTAATAAAAAATTATGAAAGATCTGATAATAGTGACGACATATTAGGAATTTGTATTGTTTATGAAGCCACTAATCACATATAACATTTTGGGCATGTGTGTTCAGATATTACATTTTAGGGAAAAACTTAATACTATAAGATGTATGATGTAAAACTTATATACTATAAGATGTATGTTAACATATGCAGTGTGAGCTTGCTCAAAAGAACTACCTATATGGGAAGAAGCCAATTAGTTGCATGGGGGCATTTTGTTCAAACCATCAGACCCCTGGCAATCTGCCCCCAACCTGAGTAAAAACCAGCATTGAATGTAATGAAATGCCATTTTCCGGAGGCTCCCTGGAGCTTTTGGGCTAATGTGTGGTATGTTATATCAGGACTATATAAACTATATATTAGTTTCAGTGAGTAATGGAACTGGGTAAACCCTCCCCCCCCAGTAGTTTGGATTTTTCCTTATCTGCCATTGACCAGGATTAGGCATCCAGACAGGTAGACATTACAAAACAAACCCCACATGGTAAAAATCTAACACCTAAAAACCGAACAGAGGTAGAACTCCCTCCAATCCCAAGGAAACAAGCAAATGGCACACTCCACTGACGCGCTGATCATTCGCACAGCCCTCCCCTCTCCAAGAGGGGAAAGCCCCGGACCTCCCAGCGCTGACTACTCAGCCCTCCAATTCAAAAGCTAAGCATCAAATAAGGCGAAAAACTGCCGACCAAAAGAAGGGAGGGTCGCCAGGGAGACTCCGGGGCTCACCCAAAAAATGGCATTTCATTACATTTAATGCTGGTTTTCTGTGGGGAACCCCTACAGCTCCCTGGAGCTACATAACCAAAGATAAGGAAAAGAGGGACAGACCCAGGAGGCGACCATCACAAACTTCTACTCAACAGGAAGTTGAGACAACTGACCGCAACCTGCGGCCCAAAGCAACACAGGAATACCCAGAAGCAGGAACAGCAACCAAAAGACGGGCAGCCAGGTTCCCTTTCGACCTCCAAAATCCCCGCGCCCGAAAAGCAGCCCAAGACCAGTCGCCAAACATGGCATCCAAAGCCGCAAACTTCCTAACGTCATAGGCACGAGGATAGAGCGCAGACTGGCTAGACTTGTGAGCCCTGCAGACGACCTGGGAGACTTGAGCCCTGGAGCAGGGAACGAGGGAAACCGGATCAACCCAAAGCACATCCCCCAGCCACCGAAGCCGAAGTGCACAGATAATGGCGGAGAGCCGTAACCAGATAACACAAGATAAACCCCCCTGCCTGACCAACCAAGCAACAATGACTCAAGGACCCCTACAGAAAGAAGCCATCTCAGCCATCACCAGAAAAGAAGGAAAAGGCTGCAGGCGAACAAACCTATCACCAGGACCGTAAGAACAGAAACCCCCTGCACCGGAGGAGAGCATGCAGCTCCCCAACCCGACCCCCAGAAGCTAATGCCAACAGAAAGAGAGGCTTGGAAAAACAAACTGGAACCGAAGGGGCCACCACAAACTGAGGAGAGCAAAGATGGGAGAGCACCCTGTCCAAGGACCAGGACGGCTCAGGCAATGCATGAGCAGGCCGGAGGTGAAACAAAGCACGAAAAAGCTTATGAAACATGGCCGAAGAGACATCCACCCCGGACGCAAACTGGAGCAGCTCCGCCAGTGCCGCACAATACGAGGCGACAGTATAAGGAATCAACCCAATCCATAATAGAAGATCCTACAGAGAGAAAATGGCGGAAAGAACGCCAGGAAACGTCATTCCGTTGCCGAGACAAAGTTCTCAGGTGGGACACCATCAACGAAGCCACCTGATAATCATACAAATGGTGATAAACCCCATGTCAAAAAGACCAGATGTGAAGAGCAGAGGAGAAGACTGAACCAGCCATGTACCGGATTGGTCTGACGTGCTGAAAGAGGCGGAACCACAGGAAATGCCCTGGGGTCGCACACCAAACAAGCAACGCCTGGAACCAAGGCTGGGCCGGCCACCAAGGGGCCACAAGGACTACTCTCCCTTGGTAGGACTCTAACCGAGCCAGAACCCGAAGCAACAGCCGGACTGGGTAGAAGAGCTACAGGAAACCCCACCTCGACCAGCTCTGCCGAAAGGCATCCAGAGTGAGTCTCACAGTCAGGGAAGGGTGCCACATAAGACCAGAAGACACCGAGACCATGCTGACGCGAAGAGGTCCACGTTCGGGAGTCCGTACATCTGGCAGAGCCAACAAAATGAATCGGCACCGACCATCCATACTGTGGAATGAACGTCCATAGACAGAGGAATGAACAGAGACAGGCCATCTGCCAGGACGGTGCACACTACACGGACATGAACCACATGGAGAGCCAAACCCCGAGAAGCTAGCAGATGAGCCACTTGAAGCGACCAGCCTCAAAGAGGCAAGGATTGAAGAGAACCCCTGTGATTCAGGCACTGAACCACCAACAGTCTGAATGGAGCTGAACGGTCGAACCCCGAGTGACCCAAACCCCCCCTCTCCCCTGAGTGACCTGAACCCCCCTCTCCCCCGAAGTGAAAGCCAAAGCGCTGTGAACGCCCCCCCCCCCGTGCTGTGAATCTGAAGGAAGGATGAACCACATTGTCCCTGGCCGGCCTGGTGAGCACTGGACACAAAGCTCCAGCCAAGAGACGACTCATTCATGAATATATCGAGCGAGGGTTCGGGTAGGCGCCAAGGCACTGAACCCCAAAAAACCCCGAAGAGAAAGCTGGTGACGCAGCAACCGACGCACAGTTCCCGGCGGTTGAACCCAGCAATCGCGAGAGAAGAGGAAGGGGTGTCCCTGAAGGAACCAGAACAGATGCCGAAGTCAAACCTGACCTAGCAGGTAGACCAGCACGGCAAAGTTAAACTCTTGCACAACTGCTCGAGCAACTGCTGAGCAACCCAGGACCCCCCTCACCCCCCAGGAACAGCCAAAGGTGGGACCGCAGCGGCAGTAACGCCTCTGGAGGGAGAGACAAGGAAGTGGTCCGAGAGTCCCAAACAAGACCCAGCCAGGTCCGAACCTGGAACTGATGGGACTTCCTCCAGTCCACCAGGAATCCGAACCCGGTGAGCTGGGAAAGAACCAAACCTCTGTCTGGCAAGCAGACAAGCAGACCACGACCCGAACCCCTAACAGACTAAAACAGGTCGCCATGACCCAGGTGAGACATGTGAAGACACGAGGTGTCAGATCCAAGCCAAAAGGAAGGCAACGAAAGCTGCAATCCTAACACCCCACGACAAAACCGAACCAGTTCCCAAACCCCGGATGAGAAGGGACGTGCAAAATCACGTCCTTGAGGTCCACGGACACCACCCAGGCACCCGGCTTCAAAAGAAGCTGGAACTGAGAGTGTGGTCATCCGAAAAGAGGGGCAAGGAATCCGAGGATCAGATGGGACAAGTCCAGAATGAACCTCAAATCTGCACAGTCGGCACGAGCAATAGCAGATTAGAATAGAACTCACCTGAGGACGGGGGTCTCAGGGCCCAGACCCAAAACAAACAGAAAACACAAAACTGTTGAATGTAATGAAAATGAAACGCCATTTTCTGAGTGAGACCCGGAGGCTCCCCGGAGCTTATCCAGGCTGATATGCTAATGTCAGACTTTGGCATCAGTCATGTGTATGGAGTTCTATGGGCCTACTGGGGACCACGAGCCAGAACCTGGCTCCCTCAGAGAGGCAAGGGGAGCAATGGCCTATAGAAACCCCTGTGCGGTTGAAAGCATTCTATGTCTGTCATCGACCAGGTCAGGCATCCAGAAAGGTAAGCGTCCCAAAATAAACCCCTATTCTGGTGAAAATTGCTACCACAAGCTGAACAGGTGGATAGAACTCCCCATAAAAGAAACGAGCAACCAATCATGACGTCACCTGTCGCCGTGCCACTGTCTGCACAGCACCTCCCTCCCTGGGAGGAGGAAGAGAGCCCCAGACCTACCACGCCGGCTATCCACCATCAGTTCTGAGGCCGAGTCAAAAAAGGCGAAAAAAATGCCGATCGGAGGGAGGGAGGGATGCCAGGGAGCCTCCGGGTCTCACCCAGAAAATGGCGTTTCATTACATTCAACGCTGGTTTTCTGGGGGGAGCCCCTTCGGCTCCCCGGAGCTAACTACCCACAGAGGAAAAAAGAGGGATGTACCTGGGAGGCGGTCGCCACACACTCCCCAACTCAAAGTCAAGACAACTGGCTGCAACCGCCAACCCAAGGCGACACAGGCCCGAATGGGCCCGGGAACGACACGAGACATCGAGCAGCCAGGCCCCTGTACGACCGCCAAAAGCCCCGTGCCCGAATGTCAGCTAGGACATGCCACCAAGACGGCAGCAAGAGCAGCGAACCCACGAACACCAGGGGCACGGGGAAGGAACACAGGCTGGCTAGCCGCAATAACACGGTAGACGACCCAGGAGACCTTCACCCGCTAACAGGGAAGAACGGAACCGGATCAACCCAAAGCGCGTCCAGGACACAGAAGCCGTGGCGCGCAAATAACAGCAGAGGGCCGCAACGGAACACAAAACACGATGCAGTCCGGCCCGACTAATCAAGCACCAACAAACCA